TTTAACTGATCAAAGCTTCTCTGGAAGTTATTGTTTGTGGTTTTGAAAAACTGCGATGATCCGAATGCGATGAACTGAGAAGACAGAAAATTTTGAACAGGGTAAATAGAAGGAATGTTTAAATTTTAGGAATCCTATAAGGCTGTTCTCGAATTTTAATGGAGGGTAAACATTTTTAATTTTTGCTCATCAAATGACGTTCGGAATGCTGTCTTTTCCACCCCTATGCAAACACATGTTTTCAAGTAATAAACGAAGAAAATGTTCACAAAATTTTAGTTTTAGAAACTACCATGAGTCTTGGGAGTGTTATTGTTACTCGCTACTATTAGAAATCCTACCTTGGGACGTTTGAAATGCACCACGATGCATGTTTTCTCGTCAATATTTACGTGAAAGTAAGATTCGCGGAACCGCATTCTCCGGAAAACAACTTTGAATCTTGACGATAAAGATTTAAAATTGATTTGTCAGGGCGCAATACACGTATGACGTCATCTCGACCATGCAAAGGAAGAGCGTCGTATCAACACTCGAATGTTGCCAAATTTTTCCCGATGAATTATTTATTTTCGAGAAAAGTCAAAATATTGCTCCCTTCAATTTTTTTCTAGTTACAAGATTTATCCGCGAATCAAAGTCTGTGAAACGTTCTAATAAAAAAAATGTACAAGCTTACCTAAAAATGATTTTTTATCTGCAGAAGTTTGATAGCGTCTGAATTTTCAAGCCACGTTTTATCGCATAAAGCTGGCAACACTGCTTTTCCTCCATTTAACTTCATTTTAAACAATTAATTGATTGACTGGCAGCTTGCCGCGCCTAAAATGTATTTATGTATGTATATTGATGATAGTTGTACATTTATTTAAATTACCGAAGTCACATTTTGCCAATTTTCAAAAATAGTCATTGAGCATGACAGAATCTGTTGCTCAATTGTTCAGTGTCACTGTCACACACACTTGTCGAAACCCTCATTTGGTGCAATTAATGCCCAAGCATATTTGAATTGCGTTTCGCAGTGAGGAACTATTATCTTCGACTCATTTTTGAAGCATTATTTTCGCCCTTCGGTATAGGAGCTCATATGAATGAGCCTTTGAAAAATGAGATCTACTAAAATGTCATCCATTTTGCCGGACGGTTGGTCTCTCTTCAATGCAAGTAGAAAAACTCGTATATAACTGATTGATTTAAAGTTATTCCACAGCAAAGCAACTCACCTCTTTAAGATATTAAAACGCGAATATCATAATACACTACGCCTTCTACGCGGTCTAGCCGTTGTATGTACAGGGTTCCCGTGCTTTAGTGCCAGAGGGATGGAGGGTGGAGCATGGGCTGCAGAGTGGAGGGGGTTGCGGATTGCTCAAGCGTTATGCGTTATGCGTTACGCGTTACTCTCGTGATTTTATAAGTATTGTAGAGGAAGATTCGTGACAGTCTTCAAGAAAGAGATCGTAGTTCATGGAAGCAAATTTTGTTCAAGCAAGCGACTTTTCTCATTTCGACGCATTTACGAGGGCCAGCTGATGAGTAACGCCTCCAAGCTCATAAATTGAGAAAATTCACTGATTTTCTTTTAAAAAGCTAAAAATATTCTGTTATAGATGTAATTCCCATTCTAAAGGTTTCTCAGATTGCAAAATGAAAATTTTCTTGGTCTTGGTTTTCTTGGTGGATTTTCAACGCTACAGAAAAATTACATATTTTTTAGAAACTAATAACACCCTGAAAGTAGACGTTATCACTTTACTGAAGGTCTAACAGTCCGCAAAACTGAACAATTTTTCGACGTAACAACGTTGCCAAACGTTAAGCTCGTATTTGTTTGAGAATTCCTTAATGTCAAATCATCTCCTATTCGGAGTGGCATAAGGGTAAGAGCACCCTTAGAAATCTCCGCACAAAGCTCTTAAATTTCTTTGATTTTTTTTTTTTTTTTTTTTTTTTTTTTTTTTTTTAAATTACCATAGTAATATTTTAAGTCCTTGGTATTCTTAAGTCTCGATAAATTGCCAAAGTACGCTCGGAAGCAGTCCTTGATTTTCGCATCCCATCGTCTGTTTACCACTTTTGAAAGACTGGTTTTTCTCCCGTTCTTGCGGAATTTTAAAATGTATATATTTGCCGCCTTCAGTATTGGTAGCAAATTATGAATATATACGAAGAGGCAACTTACATTTTTAGGCATGCCGATGCCTTAACGTTTTCGTTTTTTGAAAGTCCTTGATAAGTCCTAGAAAGTTCTTGATTTTGCCGATCGAACGTATCTATGCCAAGGTACTACGCACAAACGAAGTGAAGCAAAAGGATTTATGCACACAGGTTTTAAGTGCTTCTTTGTGGTTCTTTTTGCTTTAATTAATTTAGGCCACTTTTGCAATAAAAAACTGAATTTCTGCAGGCTCATCTATGAAAATACCTATCTACATAGGATGACAAATGGCTGATGTGTCGTTACTTAAATGAGCCGGACATTGTAGTTCCTTCGTGGGAAAAAAAAGTATGACTGTCCCAACTATACTCCCGACTGATTTTGGCGGCAGTTGTGCTTGAAAATTCCTCGGTTTTGGTTTTCAAACTATCATGAAATATGGAGCCTAGCCGTTGAATTTGGAAGCGATCGAAGATAACCGGATTTCCCGGGCGAGTCCGGCAAGGGTGGCATTAAAATGAATAAATGAATAGCGGGTTCCAATGAATGTCGATGAGTGGTTAATGCCGGACGCGCCCGCGCACCAAGTGGGCGATTCAGAATCGAAATGAGTCGGACGATACACCTTGGGAACCGCGCGCGATCCATCGAACCAGAAATCCAGGGTCGACCCAGGGGGATGAAAGTCGTCTTGACGTGATCAGCGAGGGCGGTCGTCGGTCAAGCGTATCTAACCCCCTTCCCCCAACTTCGGCCCTCATCCGAGAAAAAGTTACATTATTCCATCGTTTTCCGGGGATTTTCATCGTTTCCTCGCCGCGCCGCAGAACCGGAGATGCAAAATGAAATTGAATGCCACTAAATTTCTTCTTCTTCCTCGCAATAACAAGATATTGGATCTTGGAAGTGTTCTTGGGGCTCTGCGAACCTACGGGGGACCGTGCCCCCAGGCCTCTCTCGTCTCTCCGACTTTGAAAGTTCCCGACCTGTCCGTGTAAAAGTATTCGGTAGCGTTTAGCGAAATCGAAACAAGTGTGATTTGAAAAAGAAAAAAAGAAGACGAAAAACATTGGAGTTGAGCGAACATACAGCTTTGAGCTTGTACAGCAACATGTTTTTCTTGCCGAAACCTCTAAGTCCACAAAAAGTATTGAGTGTGTGAAAACTTGACTAAAATATAATTTTTTGCAACGAGCACGAGCCATCTAGAGTGATGGAGCAGGGTTGGAGTCGGGCTAAGCCGGACCGAAAGAGAAAAGAAAGGGTGAGGGTGAGAATAATTTGTATTATTGTAACTGCACCTCAGCTTAGAGGGGTTAATTTTTCATAATTTGGTGCAATACACCAACACTCCAAGAATTGGCCCTTAGATTGTGCTTCTAAGTTAGAGAACGTGAAATTCCAAATTCGAGAAAAACGCAGTGAAAGTCAGGGCCGGATTAAGGGGGTGGCCATGCACATGGGCCGCGGCCCATGGCGGCAAATCTAAGGGACGGCAAAAATGTGCAATTTTTTAAAGTGTAGGTATAAAAAATAAATCGGATTAATAAAAACAAAATTACAAACGAGAAAAGACGACAAAATCTCTCATTTCCTGAGAGTATACCTAGTAATTCTTAATTTTGGCGTCTCTTAGCGATACAAGATACAGCACCCTGGGTGCTGTAACTCTCTCGTAACTCGACTTATTGAGATAAGTCGAGTTACGAGAGAAACCAAACACGCAATTTGGCCTAGAACGGCGCGACTTAGAGAGAAATGATACCCAGGACTTGAGATGAAAAGGAGAAGCCCTCGGCGCGGCGATCGGCATGTAACATATATTAGCGCCTACAAGACTGCACGAATACTTCACGCATTGCGTCCAACACAGTGCGGTCATTGCGGTCAGCATGAAACGGATAGCGCCTACAAGAATGCATGAATACTTCACGCATTGCGCCAAACACAGTGCGTTCAGCAGCCGGTCGGCGTGAAACGCATAGCGCCTACAAGACTGTCGGAATACTTCATGCATTGCGCCAAACACAATGCGGTCTGCGCGGCGGGGCGGCGGAAGTTAAAATCATTGAACCACATTTATGTTTGTTCTTATATAATTTTTTCGTTCATTTCTTATGAATGAAATGCCTTGTCCACACAGAGATAGGTTTACGAAAATTAACTTTCGCGCAAAGTTCCCTGAACTTTAGCTAGTAGTGTTGACAGGGCTCTCCCAAAAAATGTGTTCAACACGAATAAATGCGTCTTAAGCACCCCTCCCCCGCTGGCACGTTCATTTGATGTTTTTTATCGAGTTTCAAAACGAATGAGAAGGGGGCGGCAAAATATAGGCGGCCCATGGGCGGCAAGTAGGTGAATCCGGCCCTGGTGAAAGTTTGCCAGCTTCAAAAACAAGCGTTTAATTTCAAACGCTCATAACATCACTTACTTATTAATTATTATAGAGTCGCTTGTGGTGTTGCCTTTAGTCACTCCATCTCCTCTCCCGCCCGCCGCCACCAATAGGATCGCTCCATTTTCCCCGTGTCCCCTACGTCTATCGCTCTGTCTGTCAATTTCAACGATGAGTAGGAGTTCTCTCCAGTGGCTGAAGATTGTTGCAGGAACGGATTGTAGGTTGTCTTGTATTAATTTTTGGGTTTTGTTTTTGTGTTCACAGATTTTGGTTTTATCAGGAAGAAGAACTGTCGTTTCGTGGCTGGAGTGATTGTCGGCCCGCCGCCGCCGCCAGAATTGCCAGCGGTAACGGATCTTCGCCCGCCCACACCCACGCCCACGCCTCGTCCTCCCCGTTCCCCTTCACTGTCGGAGCCTCCACCGCCGCAGCCGCAGCCGCCGCCGCCGCCATGGGCCGTAAAAAAATTCAAATCTCTCGAATAACGGACGAACGCAACCGTCAGGTGAGCTCCATTTCATCTTGATTCTCGAGTCCGCGCCCGGGGGAGGAGCATCGTTACTTGGCCCAATAGGTGGATCCAGGGGGGTCGGGACGCACGCCCCCCCTCCCCCGTTCGTCCGAAAAGAAAAGAAGGAAGAAAGGGCGCTTATATTTGGCACCTATTCATGAAAAAAATCGACTCAAACTGCATATAAGATGCTTTAAAATTTCAAAAAAATTTCCGGGGGACGCCCCCCCCGGACCTCCCTTATGCCCCCCTCCGTTTGAGGTGTCTGGATCCACCTATGCTTGGTGCCTTCTTCAGATCGAAAGAGGAGATATCTGTGTCTAAATAACAGTCCGAGGGAAAACGTCGTATCAACATTCCACGAGTCAGTATAATAAGTGCCCCTTTCTCGAGGAACTCAGGGATGTTTTTTTCTTCTTTTTTTCTATTTAATGGCTTTGTGTCTAAGCACCTGCAGCCAACTCTCAGGGATGTTCAAATGTGGACCTGGACGAACCTAATGATGAGATAATCCTACAGAGAAAGTTTTAGCTTGAGTTCAAAGCTCGTTTCGGCAATGCGGCGTTGCTAAGTTTACATTATTTACCACTGAAAAAAGCCAATATTTTCAACTTCTTTGGTTGAAAAAACAGCTTTAGTCGACCCCTTTTTTTGTTTCAAAGCGCAGTAACAACAAATGATGATATCGTCCCTCACTGAGGCAGCCTCAGAAAATAAAAAGAGATCAACGTAATTTGTTTTTCCGACTGAGGAAGTACAAAATATTAGAATTTTTTAGTGGTAAAAGTTGGAAACTCCGTAACGCTATTTTAGCAAAACGAGTCCGGGACTCCAGCTAAAAATTTCACCGACGAATTGTCTCATTACATAAGGTATCGTTTAGGTCATATTTGAAAATATTTCCTGAGTTTCCCAAAACAGGGGCATTATAAGGCTCTTTGATTGACAGGCTCTTTGCCTTTCCCCCGATAAAGTATTGAATTTTCAAGAAATTTATGAATATTTTTCCTTGAAATTTTCAAATATTTTGAATCAAACGACGAATAATAACCTCTGAAAAGTTGGTAGAAAGAATTTACAAGTCTCTCAGGAAATTTGTTTTTCATCAAAGAAAACTTGGTAGCGCTCGAAAGCTCATACGTCGTTCTGCCCAAGTGCATGAAGTGTTATGTAGGCTAGAAAACCACGTTTAGTGCCGGATTCGTGCTTTTTTTTTCACCTGGTGCAAGATTAGTCCAAGCAAACTGCGCAAGAGGAAGTTAAAGGTGTACACCTGAAAGCTGAAGAAGGACCTAAAAGAGGTGAAAACTATGTACGGGGTCACATTCAAGTTAAATGAATTTTTTTCTTCCTCTTCTTCTTTAAATTGTAACCGTAAAGATCCACGAAAAATTTTCATTTTGAGTCTCTCATGTGACATTTTAAGTATATTCAGTACTTGTCGTCCCTTGGTTACGAAACAATGGAAAGTTGAAAGAAAAAATTCACCAGTTCTGCAGGGCCGGATTCCTAAGGGGGTGGCCACATTGGCCGCGGCCCATGGCGGCAAATCTAGGGGCGGCAAATTTTGCAATTTTTTTTAAATGTGGGTATAAAAAAAATCGGATTTAAAAAAAAATTACAAATGAGAAAAGACTACAAAATCTCTCATTTCCTGAGAGTATAGTAATTTCTAATTTTGGCGTCTTCCAGTGATACAACAGACAGCACCTTTAATTAGTCGAGTTAAGAGAGAAACCAAACACACAATTTGGCCTGACTTAGGGAGAAATTATGATGAGAACTTGAGATGAAAAGGAGAAGCCCTCGGCGAAGCAATCGGCATGTAACACATGTTTGCGCCTACAAAACTGCACGAATACTTCACGCATTGCATCAAACACAGTGCGGTTATTGTGATCAGCGTGAAACGGATAGCGCCTACAAGAATGCGTAAATACTTCACGCATTGCGCCAAACACAGTGCGGTCAGCGTGAAACGCATAGCGCCTACAAGACTGCGTAAATACTTCGCGCATTGCGTCAAACACGGTGCGGTCGGCGCGGCGCGGAAGTTAAAATCATTAAACCAAATTTTGTGTTCGTTCTTTCATAATTTTTCCGTTCATTTCTTATGAATGGAAGGCCTTGTCCATTAGAGATAGGTTTACGAAAAAAAATGTGTTCAACACGAGTAAACGCGTCTTATGCATACCTCCCCCGCTGGCACGTTCACTTGATGGTTTTTATTGATGTTTCAAAACGAATGAGAAGGGGGCGACAAAATATAGGCGGCCCATGGGCGGCAAGTAGGTGAATCCGGCCCTGCAGTTCTGTCATTTTTTTTGTCCAGCAGTGACTGTAACGACATCCTTACATCTTAATAGCCGCAAATGATCAACTTCAAATTGTACGTCATTTCCATGTTTCTACAGTTGTATTCGTTGTACTTGCTACCAACTGTTAAACAAACTAATTTATCAAATACACCTGTCCAAGAAAACAAATGAGAATAATATAAGAACCACCGGCACAACTCTGAAAATACGGAATTCCCGTAAGCGGATGCATCTCAGATTGCGATTTTGCCATAGTTCGGGTGATAAAATATCATGTACAAACTTCGAATGGAGCCTCACATGACACATGATGCCAGAAAAATGGTAAGCAAGGCACGGCATGAAGGACGATATCTACCGATAGGTCCCCGGATTCGTTTATAGGTTCAATCTAAGCTCATGGAGCGACATTGAAATTGTCCGTGCTTTTCAAATCGATATCTACTCGCGGTCCCTGGTAGGTATGTTGCCTATGCAGCAAGTTGAAGGGGAACTTTAGACTGTCGATACCTACCTGTAGTGGTACGAAGTCGTTTGTAGGCTCAATCAAAGTTCATGGCGCAAGATTAATCGAATCGATCACTATTCGCGCTCCCCAGTATGTCTGTAGCCGAAGAAGTAAAATTAACGGCGAACTTAACTTAACTTTGAACGGCAGACGACATCTGTCAGTAAGCTTACGCTTTGATTTTATTGAAGTTCCAAGTTTGCAGGCGAGATTTATAAGTGTTGTTTTTTAATAGATAGGTAATATTCGCGCTCCCCGGCCGGTAGGTTTGTTGCCTTTGCGACTTCAGATGGCGAACTTCAGATGAATGATAACGCACCCGCAGACACCCTGCATGAAAGTGAAGAGCGGTACTTATGAGAGAGAGTCATGACTGATGAGGGGCTTGGAGGACAAGGCGCATACATAAGTGCAGTTTTTGCTATTTCGAGAAATATGTGTTCGAAGTTTTGAAATACGTGGATCCTTATGACGGAAAGATAGTTCAAACTGACTTTTTAATGCTCAAAAATTAGAATTTGGGAGCGAATTTTTTTCACAGAATATGGAATAAGACTAGTTTATCTTGAAATCATTAATATCTTAATTTTTTCGATACTTGCACTCACGTGCCTTGTTCTCCAAGCCCCTCAAATCATAACTGAAATACTTCGCTTTCAGAATACACAAGTGTGTAGCCCCACGGGCAACGCGTGGATACTCTCAAAATTGAAATGTTGGTATTGCTGCTTCAAGAAATGTTTCACGAGAACTGCGGCATGAAAAATGCCTAGAAATGTCGAACAAATTAGAAAATATGACGAATTGAAGTTCGCAGTCGAGGAAATGTCGTCTTAAGAGGGGGATGTTCAAAGTTTAAATCTGCTGTGTTGGTGGCAGAACCATGGTTGATGTTGTTGTTGTTTTTTTTTATATCTTTTTATCTTTATCTGACATTACCAACTTCAGGTACTTTTTATCTTATTATATAAAATTTTCTGCCATTAACTATCGTTTTTCTATTACTTTTGTAGGTGACGTTCAACAAGCGCAAGTTCGGTGTGATGAAAAAGGCGTATGAATTAAGTGTACTTTGCGACTGTGAAATCGCCCTAATAATTTTCAGCAGCTCAAATAAGTTGTATCAGTACGCCAGCACAGACATGGACAAGGTCTTACTGAAATATACAGAATACAATGAGCCTCATGAGTCGCTCACCAATAAAAATATAATCGAGGTAAGTTTTAAATTTGATTTTAGGTCCTGATGAACATTGAACAGCACGTCATAGTAAAATGTACTGCAGCGAAACTATGAATTTTTACTCTCGTTTTCCCATTACTTATCCAAGTTTTATTTTTTCATGAAACAACGTCGCAAATGGAGGTACGCGGTTATTCGCTCTTTGGACATAGATATGTACTTAAAATTCAGAAGAAGTACAGTAAAGAGGACACTCCTTTGAACACTCAAATAGTGCACAAATCTAAAGTTAAAACTGCTTAAAATTCGATCTGGGAGAGTCATTTTCAGAGGAGTCCCCTGAAGAGCCGCCGCCGCCCCCCCCCCCCCCCCNGTAATCCGGGGGATGGCCGCGCAGACTAGGTGAAAGACTTAGAGGGAAGTGTTCAGGTCAGGTACATGCACTGGAATGCTTATCTGGTTAACTCGGATCCCTACTCTCCTATCCCCTCACAATATTTTGGGACGATTTGGGCCACAATTTTAGTGTTTTGTTTTTCTTTTTTTGAAAGTTTTCAACATTTTTCTAGAAGATTTGGAGAGATAATAAATTTTCTTTTCCAAGGTTGTAAGCATATTTTATAAAATTCAACGAACTACGAATGTGAAGAAATTGTGGCTTAATTTTGTGCTGTATTCTTAATCAATCTGTCATTTTTCAAACATATATTTTTAGTTGTGACTTTGCATTTTGTTTCATGAGCAGGCACTCAATAAGAAGGAACATAAAAACGGCTCATTCAGCCCAGATAGCCCGGACAATGACTCGGATCAACTAACCCCTAAAACAAATGAAAAGTACAGTAAAGTAGATGAAGAATTTCAAATGATGATGCATCGAAATCAGATGGCAAACAATAGGGTAAGTTGTAACCGCTTGTTTGACCTATCAAATTGTAGACTCTTGATGTACAATTTATTTCATTTCAAAGTAGAAAACTTGTTAATGTTCTATTAAATCCTATCTCCCAGTCAAAATTTTTGAAGCCAGGACCTAACTTGGTAGCGTTTTTAGTTTTATAATTCACCCTTAGTTCACCCTTCATGGAGTACCTGACATTGGATTTGGTTTATTACAAGGTAAAAGTATTAAAACTGAAAATAATTTGTTTTTCTTCTAAAGTTTAATCGAAAGTTGAAAGTCACCGAATACCTACCATGAACATAGTAAAATTCCCTTAAGCACCGATCTTTATCAAGCTTATTTTTTATTGCCATCCTGGAAGGAACCTAATTGTCCAGAGTATAGAAACGAGATTTTGATCTTGTTTCAAGGAAAATAAGTTTTGCACACTTTGGTTCAAAAACCTCGTAGAAATGTTTTGCACAATGTTTTGCAGATGTGTCTGCTGTCTTGCAGAGTGCAAGAACATGATTTTAAAACGAAGCATCGAAGTTTTTCATTATGAACAGTGAATTATTTAACCCAGTTGGATTGCAAAATAATTATAAATTCATGTACTCTCATTTTGCGATAGCAGGTGTTCTTTGCGGGAAGCTCAGTTAATTGATCAAAATTCACTTCATTGAAAAGTATTTCGCCAGAAACTACAGGGTGATCCAAAAGTCCCTTCCACCCCCTCTAACTTTTCACCTAATTGAGATAAAGATTTGAAACTTGGGGGATATTCCTAGGTCAAAGGGAGCTACTTTTTGGCCCCCCTAAAATTTTCAGGGGGCCCCCCTTGGGGGGGCAACGGCCCCCAACTTTGAATTTTCAAATGGGAAGACCCCCTTTGTGATAGCTCGTTCGAAAGAGCATAAAAAAAGAAAACTTTTCGCGCAAACCCGAAGTCAATATCTCATACCGTTTCAAAATGGCGGCCGGTTAAAGTTCAAAATTGCCGAAAATTCACACCGGTTATTTGTCGATGGATTTGCGCGAAAATCGGAATGTAGGGGTATTTTGACACGAGAAAAACGAATTTAACGTTAGATTTTCAAAAAAACCGAAATTTCCAAAGTGGCCGCCGGTTAAAGTTCAAAATGGCCAAAAATTTATTTTTTTATAAATCTAAGTTCAAATTTGTTTATCTTATGCCAAAATACTCTCAAATTCCAAGTTTTAGGCAAATCCATCAGGGAAAAACCAAAGTGAAAATTTTCGGCCATTTTAAACTTTAACCGGCGGCCATTTTGGAAATTTTGGTTTTTTTGAAAATCTAACGTCAAATTCGTTTTTCTCGTGTCAAAATACCCCTACATACCGATTTTCGCGCAAATCCATCGACAAATAACCGGTGTGAATTTTAGGCAATTTTGAACTTTAACCGGCCGCCATTTTGAAACGGTTTGAGATATTGACTTCGGGTTTGCGCGAAAAGTTTTCTTTTTTTATGCTCTTTCGAACGAGCTATCACAAAGGGGGTCTTCCTATTTGAGAATTGCAAGTTGGGGGCCGTTGCCCTCCAAGGGGGGCCCCCCTGAAAATTTTAGGGGGGCCAAAAAGTAGCTCCCTTTGACCTAGGAATATCCCCCAAGTTTCAAATTTTTATCTCAATTAGGTAAAAAGTTAGAGGGGGTGGAAGGGACTTCTGGATCACCCTGTAATATCTTTCTTGCTATGTAGGTTGAAACATTAAGAATGTCCACGTGAAATAATTAAAATATCCCTGACCTTTTTCTCTCCTACCCTCAGTAGTCTAAGTTTCTAAATGCTTGATTATATCTCTTGTTACACTTTGGCCTTTAAAAAATTCTAAATTAGAGTAAAAGTTACCCGAATGAGTCTTTGAGACATGCTTTTAAACATATTTTGTTAGACTTCTAGTGTTCATTGTTATTTGACTACTTACCTACTTCAGTTTCTGCTCGCAAATGACTGAGCCTAATATCCTTTCCAATTTGGTTGTTTTAGGTACAATCATCAAATTATACCCTCCCCGTGACAGGGCCTGTTGGATACTGTGACTCTAGTCCATTTCAAGCGAGTCCTTTGATGGGACAGAGCAGTAATGTTAGCCCAAGGCCCTCGTCATCAGAAGCAGACCCTGGTAAGACTCTAGTTTTGATTGAAAAACCAAAACCAAAACCATATAACCCTCTCTCTAAACACTGTTAATAAGATTGTTGATAACTTTATTGCCTACTATGATTGAATATCTCTCAGTCTTATCAATTTGCAGAGATTAATGTGTTTGTTCCAATTGTCCATGATGCATCATCACCAATGAGACTGAGGTGGAAGAGATCATCATAGTCTAATGTGGAGGATGAAGTTATCCACAATAAATAATGTAAAGTCGTTTTCTCTGTTCATTTCCCACCTACGATTGAAGTATTAGTTCCTCTTGCTAAACCACAATTATCAACCTCTCAGAATACCTACAGTTTTTCTTTTATTTATGCAACCAATCAATTTTCCCTCCTAGGATCGCTCTCATTGGTTTTTTTTTTCTTTCTTTCTTTTTTTTAAATTGTAGAATATTTTTTGATTGATACATTAGGCATTATTATGAGCCATAGATGGTCGCCTCCAGCTAGAAGGAATTTATCTTGTCTGCGCTGTTTCAGTATTTTAGGAACATTTCATTTTTTCATAAGAGAACCGTCTAACGAATTAGTCTGAAAATTTCAGAGTCTTTTCTCACAAGGGTGAAGAAAAATCACTAGTAATTTTAGGGAAATTTGTGTGATGGTCCTCCTATATACAAATAAAATGTAGGCAAGAAAAACTAAAAAAGTGCAATCAATATACGTTCCAGTGTGCGGGAGACAACGAGATGTGCAATTTCAAAAAAATTGATTGTTTCTAAAATAATGTATGTTTGCTAAGTATTTATTCATCCTGACATGGTTCCTTGAATGTATACAATAGAGCACAACTAGTCTAGTTTGAATGAATAACTGACGTCGAATCTCTTCTATGCAGCGATGGAATTCCAAGAAGGGTGTTTTCTCTCACTGTAAAATTTTATTTTCCTCACGGTAACCCGCTATTATTCACTAGAACACAACTGAAATGAGAAAAAAAAACTGGGCAAAAGGTGTAATACTTTTGGGGAAATTGTGATCCCACTTTTAATCAGAACCGAACACAAAAAAGCCAAGATGGAGTAAGTTATTACTGTAAATGCAAGAAATTTACCGTCAACTAACTTAGTTTAAGATATTATTTATTCTTCATTAAATATTTCTTTTTTAAACCAATCTTTTTGCAGTTTATCCTCCCGGTAATTTACCAGAAATATCAAATGGATATCCAAGCAACTCCTCTCCGGTTCTAGGAGGGTCGCCTTCACCAGGTGTGCCTCCGTCAGGGCCTCCACACTCCATACCCCAAAAAATATCCTTAACCAGACGTTCACCACCTCTGCCGTCTACACAGAGAGCGAATCTGAGACTGGTAATTCCTAATTCACATGAAGAGGTATGCCCTGTTTTTTTTCAAAGCTTCAAGAGAAACTTCAAAATTTTCTTCACAAATCTTTTTGCTTAAAACTTCACCCATGGATGATAAAAAATTTGATAAAAAATTCAATAACAACAGCTAAACGTAACATTTTTAAATTTCAGATTCTTTTCGCCTCGAGGTGTTATATATCCTAACTTCCTCCAAAACAACGATAGGTTGTTTTAGATGAAGAGCGAAAAATTAGTTTTCCCCCTAGCGGAAAGAAACATTTAAAATTGAATAATTTTTTACACAATTTACACAAGCAACAGCGTATGGAACTCAGCAATGAATAAAATTTTACCTTCTTCCTTTAAAAGCTGTAAAAATATTTAGGAATAATTTTTTTCTCTTTTTTTCTTTTTTTTCAAAATAATCATTACATACATTACATAAATTTATAAACCTGATTTTTCATTCTTTAAAAGTCTCAAATATTCAAAATCTGGTTCATCCCCATCCAAAATACTGTCTCTTAAAGTGGAGGGACAGAGCCCTACTCAATAAAATGCTAGGTATTTAAACTGAAGTAGAGATCTGAGAAAATAGTCTAGCTAAATACAGAGATGTCTGAGTGAAGATTGTCTCTGAAGAATTTCTGTATATAACTGTTAAATACTCAACAATTGAAAACTAGCCTATTATTGTTGTAAATTTTATTGTACATGTGTTTAAATGAAGTGTTTTTGAGGACAACACCTGACACGCACCATAAGCAGTCTCAACAGCTTTGTATGTACTTAATTGAATAAATAAAATAAATAAATAAAGTGTTCTCTTCGGCAATTGACCCCAAGACTTCGGAATTTGACGGTCTCAAACCCGCCAAAATCTTGATGATGGGGAAGGAAGAGGTGCTAAATTTTTACAATGAGCAAGTCCAGGGCTTGTCTAGCACCCCACCAGCAAGGTTCTAAAGGGCTTCAAGTCGTCAAACTAAGATTTCTCAGAGTTGATAGCCTATAAAAACTCCTTTTTCTAAGGCCTCTAAGACCATTTAGCAAACTACCTATGTAGTGTTATGTCTTTCAACTTTGGAAGTCAGTATTTCCGACAGTGATGGACTGATTTTTTACTTTCTGGTGTTAATATAAGTTAAAATTTCCCCTACTCTCTGATTTTGACAAAATAATTTCGAAATTGTGACAGTAACCTCGATTTTCAAAGTTATATGAGGCCTTTTTTTGTACCAACTGAGGAATACTGCAGGGAAGGAAACTCTGAGATGATGTATTTTGAATTAATAGAAAAAAAGCCTAGCTTAGGTGGTCTGGCACATCCTGTGTAGAGAATGCAATTACATATAGATTTGAACAGGAATCTATTCTGCTTCCCTCATAGCATCAAAAACTCTTTCAGTTTGATTTGTTTTTTTCAAATATGAGCACAATGAGCTGTAAATTTAGGAGAATTGATTTTTAATTTTCATCTCCGTTTTTTAAGCATACTTTTCATGTTCTTTTCTTTATCCTTTTGCCTCACTCCGACCCTAATTTGACTTACGATTGGTTTAATCTTTTTTCCAGGCAAGTAGTAATAATATCACACCCAACTCTGTGTTACACACTCCAGTGGTAGCACTATCAACACCTGTTGTCTATCCTGCAGGCATGTTTCCAAGTAATTCTGCTGACTTAAGCCTGGCCTCGTTTAGTTGGAACCCTAATGCTCACCCAAGGTAAGTTGTACTGCTCATAGGGAGCATATATCTTGGAAAAAAAAAAAAAAAAAAAAAAAAAAAATTACAAAATTAAATAATGCCATTTTTTTTATAAGTGCGCTTGATGCGTTGGGGGCAGAAAGCCTTTCTGCATAAATTGGGTCTATGCATCTCTCATACACTCCACTAACATCGTAATTAACATATTAATATTAATTTAAGCAAATTATAATTGAGCACAAGATGAATTATTTTATAGGAGTGAGTTGCAACGCTCTGAGTAAGTGAACGTATCTCATGGGATCTGATTATTCATCATCACTGCTTTTGCAATCGGCCTGCACTTGCCATCAAGCTGCTAGTGTCAGCGGTGGCTGCTCATAACCAGACGATGATACTGACGAGATCAAAAGTTTATCACCCCCCTCAGTTGCATATACTTTGATGAAGTTTATCACATTGCTATGTTTAATCACAAATATTGATCTGATCAGAATCAATGTCAAGACAGTTGTGATATAACATCTATGCACAAAAGGCATTCTTCTTAGTATGATTTTTTTGGTTTTAAGGTGAAGAATGAGTCAGAAAGGGCATATGTATATGTACTTACCTTGCAGTATGTCAAAAGACATGATAAGCCTAAAGAAAGTTTAACTAATGAAGAGAACTTAACTATTCTAAATGTCTTGTCTCGTTTCATGCAGAGGGCACTTCATATTACAGCTTTAATTTTTTATTTCAACCACAAAATTACTTTAAAACAAGAATTGCAACCGTCGGCATCTTTTAAAGGACTTACATTTTGAAGCAAAAAGCAAGTGAACAACATCTATTCAAACATGTTGACAAGGACAGCATCCAAACTTCTCATCGCTTATATCTCGGAACAAGATTTTCTGAGAAGCGGTCTTTTTACACCCAACATCTCAATTACATTTTAAAAAAAAAGAAGAAAACAATGTAATACCTCATCAGAGATGCAAACCCTTGCTGCTTTGACTCTTGCTGTTCTGAGCAGAAATGTAGTTATAAATGGGAATTCTCTGCTCCCAGCAATGGCAATGTTTCTAAAATATTTTACGGGGAAACTCAATAATGCTAAGAGTTCTACGTCTTCACATTGCTGTCTACATAAGACTGTGCGCCTCACTATTTTCTTCCCATCATACCATTTCCTTTCCCCAAAAATAATGTCGTTACTTGTTTTCTTCTCAAATATAACGCCTTCAATGGTTTCATCTGCACATCTGCATTCCTAGGGAATGCAGGTGAATGCATTGTTCCTGCATTTTTAGAATGCAAGTAAATTTTTGATGGTGAAATATGAAGGAAATGTCTTTGTTAATCAGTGTTTCTGTTTTCCAGCAGCTTCACTCATGTTGGCGGATCAAATTCGTCACCACCTCCACCATCACCCTCTTTGTCGCCGCACTCTGTGAGCATAAAAAGTGAACCGATATCACCTCCTCAAAATGAGCAGCACACCTCACATCTCCTCTCTCCTCATCCTCTAGGTAACATTCGTGATCTAACACTCTTTAATAAAATTTCATTTTTGTGGAACTTCAGTGTTGGATGCTGGGATTAGAACTGTGTGCTTGTGCGTAAAAATTAATAGACATGAAAGCACTTATCTACCTAAGGAAAGTGAAGGCACTTGTATTGATTCTATAATGAGTTAGAAATAGTAGTTCCTTTATGCGGAATGTTGTTCAAATTATAGTATTTGTATAGAGAGAGAGAGTGGACAGAACATTTCATCGAAGACTTAGGGCTCAAATGGGCAGCCAACCTTCTGACAGGTTATCAGAACGTAAGACTAGCATTTTTCCTTGTCAGTCAGTTTTGTTTTCTTTCAATATTTGAATGGACAAATTTCTTCGGGAATACATCTGCAACCCATTTATTGAAATTTTGTGTTATTTTTTTAAGGTGGGCATTGATGACAAAAGTGAAGCAGCGCAGTGTGATTGGTTGGTTTTGTTCTATCGCAGCTCATATCATATTTTCTCATATTTATATCAGGTAGAATTAACGACCTGCAATGGGGAACTCAAGAAGTGCCTTTAGTTGGTCGTCAATTCTTTCTGACATAGGGACGGCAAAGTAACAATAAGACATAGCTAGCCAATCTCACTACGCCATGTCACTTTTGTCATCTATGTTCGCCTGTCAAACACAAAATGTCAATAACCGGTCTGCTGTGGTGATGTGGAAAGTCACTGTTGACTTTTCTCCAAAATTAGATCTCCTCCTAAAGTGCTATCTGGACTGTCAGATGACCGACCAACACATGTTCCTTGTCATGAGTGAGCCAATAACAGAAGTGGAGCCAGTGGCGAGGCAGACTTAAGTAAGTGGCTTGGTCTATTGTTTGAGGATTGATTTACATTGGCAAGCCTGAATTATTAAAATGAGCCAGCTCACTAGAGTTTTAACCCCAAAAAAACTTCCCAGGTCAGTCACTTACACTGCCTATGCCCCTCACTTGCCACTTCTTGTGGTGGCGACTAAAATGTGTAATTTTGAGGTCAGATGGAAAAAAAGAATCATGAAATTTAATAGAACTTTCATTTTTCAGTGCAAGTGCCCTCATCTGTAGCAGAATTAAGGCATTATGATGAAGGAGGTCCTCCCAGCAAAAGGCTTCGAGAGAGTTGGCCCACATAACGAAAGAATTACTCTGCTCCGTCTCATGATGAGGTACGTATGCCAATTTGAAATGATGATTTAGTTTGTCGGAAGTTCTCCTGGATTTTAGTTATTTACTCATAGGTAGTCTTTGAGCAGTATCTGAATGTCATGGATGAAATGAGGTTTTGCTTGTCCACAAGGAACTTAAAAGTGAATCCTGTTAGGGCAAGAAACTACCGTATAATTGTGTGAAGTTGGTCACATTGCGAATGCGAGTACTAATATCTAAAACCATTTCGCAGAAAATTATTGGGACTCTTTAAGCAGAGATACCAAGCCAGGGTTACCTGATGTGAAATTGATCCTAGCTTTCTGAAATAATCTAGTTTAAGGAATCGGTTTTTTCGATTTTTCGTTTTTGTTTTTTTTTTTCACAATTTGGATGTTAAGAACATAATCATTTTCGTTATGGACTGAACCAAGTTAAGAAAATCGCAGAATTTCGGATGTTCTCCTTACACTTTCACGCTAATTAAGAACAGAAAATGCAAATGGTCTTATTTTATTTATTGTACAAGTGAAGCACAAAGATTGATTGATTCTTATCTCAAAATTTCTCAAAGAAATGTTGATCACGTTGAAGGAAAATATTTGCTGTAATTACAACAAAACTAAAAAAATAAAGTAGACTCTTTATCTCACCACGAGAACAGGTATTAACTAAAATCGATTGAATATTGCTGAAAAGTGCTGATGCCAATTGAGCCATATCACTAAAAGAAGTTCTCAAAAATTGGTGAATAAAATTTTTGTGATAAAATTGATTCTCATTCCATAAAATTTGAAGGTGCATTCCTCTAATGATGTTACTTTCATTTCATAATTTCTACTTTTATTTTTTCATACTCATGTCGCACTCTACAAGTAATTTCTCCTCAGCAAAAAATTAATAATCTAAGAACTTGATCCCCAATGAAAATGAATTAAGCAGGACGAAGGGATTAAAAGAAAATGTCTGAAGCGTTAAGAACGGGAGAATGTAAGAATTGTCCATGAAGTCTGCCGTTGCAGTTCATTAGTAAAAGGAGGAAGCCTGAAGCATGGTCCAAAAGCCAAGGGCAGTTACTCTGGGGTACCCTAACTTTGCAACATTGTACTGCCAAAAAGAGCTGTGAACTCAAACTAAAATTTAACTAGAAGATTTTTTATATCATAAGGTTTTGCTAAAGACACGTTTAAGGGAAATCTTTGAGTTTTCCTAAAGGGAATTAAAAAAGCCCTTTTTAAGACAGACTCTCTAATGAATTGTACCGGAAATTTAGCATGGAATTTAAAAAAAAAAAAAAAAAAAAAAAAAAAAAAAAAACTAGTTTTTGTTTTGACCAAGTCATTTACACAGTGCCTAAACATGAGAAAAATTTTATATCTACATCCTTAAAATTTGACAAATTGTCATGAATTGGCTTGAAATTGAATTCGAAAATGTTTAATTGTACACACCGATAGTTTGTTTTTTCTTTTTCTTCAAGTTATCCTTTTTGAAAGAAGTCAAACGAAATCCGATGAACCATTCAAAAGTTAAAGCTTTTGCCTTGGACCCTCCTACATTAAAAGTTTTGCTGTATTTGAACATCTCACACAAGTCACATGCCACCGTGCCATTCCTGAAAAGACGGATCATATCTGATAGGAGGCCAAATCGAATGGGAGGTGGAACAACCTCTTTGTTTTGTAGGCAATTTTTGTTATTTTAACGGACTTTTTCCTTAATGTGAGGAAGAGGAGCTAAAATTTGTTTTCTTTTGACGTTTCAGATGGGGGCAGATTTCAGGACATACCACTCAAACTTTGCGGAATTTCATCGCAGCCAAAAGTCTGTTCTCTATTGAATACAAGTTGAAAATACATATTTGTAATTGTGCCATAACATTCCCTCTCTTCTGGTGTCTCCTCCTATTGAGTCTCCTTTCCTTGCTCCCCCTCCCTCGTAAGTGTCGTGTACCTCTTCTCCCACCCTTCGTACTAGCATGTCTGAATCCCCTCGCTCTTTGCTTCCAGATTCTGGAATCCGAACTGTATATTTGTTGTAGATGTTATAAAGTTTATTTTTCAATCAAAAGAATCACTATTTTCTTGGAAAGTGTTTGCTGCACTTAAATAATTTGTCATTTTTATGTCAGTAATTACCTAAACAGATGTAATCTCACAAGTATGCTCTCAGACATTGAAAATGAGCCAACTGTGGTTTTTACTCTGTTGATTGCTTTTGCGTGATTTGAAGAATACTGATTTTGCATTTTCGGAAAATACAAACCCGGCAACAGTGTGACTTTCTTGGTATCTTACTATCATCCATTGCCTCAGACATAAGTGAACATATTTTGGTAATCTTGCGTATTCTAAAAATGTTGGGTTTTAAGAAGGCTTAGGTCACAGAATAAGAAGACTAAAGTCAGGCGCACAAGCCTTGGATATTTTCTTGTCAACGAAGCAAAACCGTTTCAAGAAGTACTGTTTACGTCTGTGGTTTGTTGATATTCTGGAATGGAGAAATGATAAAGAATTCATATGATCCTAGGAAAAGAAATGTTTTTTTTTGCATTGATTCTCGTTTAAATTGGAGAAATAATGTGAAGTTGCCAAAAATTGTAAGCTTTTTCAAATTTGTTTCCAGTAGGTCAACTTTTAATAAGGAGACTTCAAGAAGTATGAAGATGACGGACGCAAGGAAGAAGATATTAATGTAGGTGTCTGTGGAGCTTGCGCTTCTGTTGACGAAGTCTTCTTATTCTGTGCAAGGGTACCTTTTTTGGAGTACAGTTTTCTATAGAACATGAATAACTATCATTATTTGGCACACTATAGTTAAAATATCAATGTAGTAAAAGCTCCATGGTGGAATATTTATTCATCAAAGAAAGTCATTTTATCTTATTTTAAAGTAAAAGTTTCACAAATAACTACACTTCAAACATTTCATGTTCGTGTTCTTTTTAGAGGTGTAAAATCTAAATTTTTCAAATTGTATGCTAAGCATTGACCTCTGGTTTATATCATCCATTTGTTCATTCTTTCCATTGAATATCATTCATATATTTATACTTACTTACCTTGGGATTCAGTAACCAGACTAGGGTCACAGCATTTTTGTTAGGTTGTTATATGATGGGTAATCACTCAAAAATTTATCATAATTTAAACTCCAATTTTTTTTTTTGCCAAGGATACTTGGAGTAGTTGGAGTAAAATCAAATTATTTTAAGCAGTTAATGTTCCTCTGTTTTCCCATCTGTTAGTATTCTAGAAAATTATTTTTTGGTTGATATTGTGGTTTTTCCACTTAATCTTTTAATCTGGTAGGTTTCGACAATTGTTATCACGCACTAAGACTTGATCAAGAATGCAATGCTGTGGCAATCTGGTTTAAAATCCCACTGAATCCTGCTCAATCGTGACAAATTCGAGATGTGGAAAAACATTCAGGGCTTGCCAAGTTTGAAGGCATTATCGAAGCGGTCCAAAATGCCAAACGCCCGATGAAGTTGAACTGATACATTTGTTCTTGTTTTCTTGAATTTCAATGATTTGCAGGCTAGGCAAATTTACATTTGTAGATCATACTAAGAGACAAAATCTGTGCTATATTTTCTTATTCACTTTCGTACCTATAATTGTTCTTAAATTTGATATGAGTACCTAGTGAAGTTACAAGTAGGCAAAATGGAGCTATTTTGATTGCGAAACTAATAGGTGCTGTTAGATTATTTGATGTTAAATGTTCACATATTTACCGTTGCAATTGTGGAGAAACTTTATTTAAAGTGTTGCTTAACTTAAGTCTACTACCATCAACTGCTTGCGGGTTGTATTCAGTTTTTATTGAGCATAACTTTTGAGGAAGAAACCTGAAAGGCCTTAGGATTTATTACTGAAGATTTCTTGAGACTTTAAGTTTTATTCTTCTCCCCTTAAATTTTGTGTCAGAAATTAAGGGAGTTTTTCTGAAAAAGAAGCTGATTTCAACTCGGTCACATGTCTCATCAAACTTTTTGAATCCACATGAACATAACCTGACTTGATTACGTCTATGAAATTGTTTCAAAGTTCATTTTATTTTTGAAGAAAATTCTGCTTTAGGATGTAAATCCCTGTCATTAGTGCAATTGTAGAATACAACCCATAAGCATGCATGGTGCTCACCAACTTCAAAATGGAACAAGAATCAAACTAAACATACGAGTAACTGTTTTGGTTTTCATATTTTATCATTTATGAGCTTACGTAAAGGTTTTATTTGTATTTAACGATGATAGATAATTGTGTAACTATTTTGTACAAAGTTTTTAATTTTTGAATTCATTTTTGGGTGCTCTGTAGAGAAAGAACTATTATTGTTGAGAAGTTGTAATTTTATCGGCTAGATTCTCCTCTTTTTATCTCTATTTTTCTTACTTGGAAACAAAACGAAAATTGTTCGTTTAATTATTGTATATAGACAGGCGTGTTGCACTAAGTGCAAGATCTGCCTCGTTTTCTTATCACACTGTCGTGCCTCTGCTCCCAAAATGAGAAAAATTCAAAGGCAGTTCATCTCGTACCCTAAGTTTATTATGGTATCTAAGATGTTCTTCAAGGTAGATATTTCTTCATGAAATCACTCTCTTGATTTTTGGAGCTTGTAACAACTTCTTATAAGAAATACATCTGCAATTTTTATTCTTTTAAACATTTTCTTAATCAGAAGAGAGAAAAGATTACCAATCTGTCTCTAAAAAGTAATGTCACAGTAATGCTACCGTTTCACTGAGGAGAGCCGTTAGTGCAAAAATGAGCTTAGTCTAAGTGGAAAATTTTATTGAAAGAAGCCTTTGTTCTTTGTCAAATTGCCATTAATCATCAAAACTCTCAAAAATGGTTTGGATGATTAAAAATGGACAAATTTCACAAGTAACACGGCAGTGTTTATAGATCATGGTTGTGACTGTCTCTTTGATCTACATAGGGTCCAGTTTCCAATTTATTAAAATCCTACTTTTGTGAAATTGTATGTGCCTCAATAATCGTGATTCTTTTAAGCTGTGAGAAAACAAAGTCCAAACAATAAAATATTCAAATATTCTTGAAGCTAAATTTTGCAACTTCAAATTTAGTACAAAAAGTTTTTCTGAAGTTGATAAGCTCGCGTGGCCTGTTTATTAATTCTCAATAGACACTTCATACTTCTCTTGATTTATAAAAGAAGCAAACTTTTTCGAAACTTGTTCTCACTGCTCAAATGAAGATCCATTTTCACTTGTTCTCCGAGGACCTCAGTTCTTTAGAGCTCAGAAAAGATTGCATTGTTTATATTTGGTATAACAACTGCAAGCGACGAAAAACCAGTGTCTGTCAAGTCCTATTTTTTAAATTTTTGGAGCAGATGACTGTTAAATTTGTAACCAGTGTAACTGCTAAACTCTGTTAGTATTTCATGTGGTAAATGTGTGATGTATGAGCTTAAAAAGTCTATTCATTTTATTTTTGTTATTTCTGTTTTGCACAAAATTTATGGAATCTATCACTTTCGGCAAAAAGTTACCAAAGAAAAGGGTTTGCCTTCATTGATCAAAACCTAAGTTTTTATATTTAAGAGTTCGTTTGTTTTCCTTCTCCTAGTGACCAAATATTATTTTGCCCCATAATCTATAGGGATTAAATTTTATTTCGGATCAGTGACCTTTCGACGAGCTTACATGTTTTGCCTTTTGCATCTTTTTCTTGAAACAGGGTATCTGCATCCGATCCATACCTGCCTGGTCGATTGTCATCTCATGAAATCACTTCAGAGTTTAGTCAAGACTATGCTGAACATTCTAGTTTAACTCTTCGTGTAGGCTTAATATCAGACTAATTCCATTCTTTCTTTTGTGTTTTCATTTGTTACTAGATCGAAATGGACAAGTCATTAGTGATGTATAAAGCTATGTAATTTTAAGTGTCTTTTATGATATTTTTGGTTTGACATTTGGTGAGAACCTTCCGATCTGTAATTCAGACGCGAAGAAAGCTCAAAAACTTTTGAATCAGGTGGAAATAGTTGCGCACTTTAAAGTGCGAAAGTTTTTCTTGCGCTTTCTACTTAATCCAGTCTCTGAATTTAATTTTAGTTTGGTTTTCCTTGTCTTGTTTTGTTTTTATTTTTCAGTTTCTTTTGTATATTTAAGTCAGTAGAAGTTAGGCTCCCCTTTTGTACAGTAAGTCTAGAAGATTGCCTCAGAAATAAAAAAACTAAGCATAAATAATTGAGAGTCCAGCAAAAATTAGGAAAATTTCCCAACTTGTTTGGTCCCATTCGTCGCTCCTGCTTTTCATGATATCAGTCAAAAGCTGTCTCACATTTTGCCATTCATACCAAACATTCAGATTAATGTCAGATAACAGTGGCGTAATTATCACTCCTACTGCCTATGCTAGGCGTTGGGGGTGAGGGGTTGTGCAGCAATGCAAGGGGCGCCAAAATTGAAGAAAGGAAAGAAAGATAAGTGGGGAGGCGCAAAGATTCCTAGCCCCCTTCAGCTGGTAAGGGCCTTAATCTGTTTCTCACTTTTTTGCATCGTTTTAAATATGACTCGGCCATGAAATATGTGTCAGAACCAGTTAGGTGTACAGAATTTTTTACATGCCAAGGCTATTTTGAAGTAATAAATCAATGAACTCAAGAGGTTTTACCGAAAAGGGTGCTGTTTAAAGAGCAAAATCATGTTTTTCTAAATTTAGCTCCTTCCTTTACAGATAAAGAAAATAATCTAACCTAGTAAGTGGTTCACTTGCTGTAATTAGAATCAGTCCTAATTGCTCCTTGCAAAGTCTTTATCTAATGAATAATGCAGCTTTCTTGAATTGTTGGTGCTTGGATGACTAACTGAGCGGAGTAAATTTTGATAGACAGCATACTCACCTACTGCTTTGTCAGTTTTTTGGTACCCTTTTTGAGACTGCCAATTTCAGAATGATACATCCCATTTCAAATTAATGACTCACCGCTCCATATTATTAGATCCTCCTTGTTAAAAAAAAATGAAATATACCACTTTAACAGTGAGTGTTCCTCGAGAAGTGTCACCCTCATTGCAAGTCCATTACTGATCAGCCTATCAAACATGAATTGAGGCATTGAGTACCGAAAGGACACTTCTTAGTCGTGGTGTTTCAGGATCTCTACTGCTACTTTATATTTGAAGAGGAAACTGTTGGATACATTTTCTGGAATTTCTTGTCTTGAGCATTCTAAAATTATAATAATGTTTTATTCTAAATTTAAAAAATTATGAACATTTGCTTCGATCACAATGGATGAAACAGTAGCAGGGATTCTGAGACACTGCAACTGAAAAGTGCCCTTTCTGCATCCAGCGCTTCAATTGCTGTAAAACTTTAGTGCCCAGGCAAGAGAATTATAAGTCCATAACAGAAAGGATCTAATTGAACTAGATGTTTTAATGGTACATTTTGATGGTCTCTATCATTTATAGTTTCAGAAAAGCCTTGAAAGATTAATGATAGCAAGGCGGATAAAGAATGGTGGTCGCATTTCGTACCCTCTGGACGTCACACGGTATCGGGTACATCGGGTACATTGGGCTGGCCGAGGCCGGGGGGGCCGACTCAACCTCGGATTGCACGGCAAAACCCGTACCCTCCTGACGTCACAACGCTTCAAGATGGCAGCCAAAATCGAAATGCGACCACCATTCTTTATCCGCCTTGAATGATAGCATAGACTGATAGTAAGTTCCAAAAGTAGTGTGCTTATTTTCTTGTAAATGAATATTTTATTTGAAGGTAAACGGAGACAATACTGCAATGAAATTACTGCACTCTTGCTTAGAATGATTGTTTTCTTAGCAGTATTGTTTCTCTGAGTTGCTACATCATAAAGTTTCGTTGAAAACTGTTTTACACACCTACTCTGGGGTCCAAAGTATTTTTTTAACTTTTTTACAAATTATGTCATTCACACTGATGCGATCCATTAATGATGAAAATTAAAAACATGAAGTATTGCAGACAGCTCTTTGGAGTAAAACCTAGTCACAATCTCAGCCTCAAAATTTCCTTCCTCTTAGAATATTTCCTTACTACACTGAAAGGTATTAACTCTTATGTTGAGCAAAAAATGTTGTAAATCAGCACATTTTTCTCTTGTATTTTGATGAGGAAATGAGTTTTCATCGAAAAATTCTCATGCACTCAAGGATTTTCTTGCCTTATGTGCCAGCCCTAACCTTGCATTCTTAAGCATCGTCTATACCCCTGAGATCATGGTGAGGTAATGCCTTATTACAAGCCAATTCTGTTGTGCCAACTTTTCAGGAGACAAAGCTCATCTATTTTAAATCCATGCTCATTTGCAAGACCCTAAGAGGCTTTCATTCTTCTTGTAAGGCGTTTTTATCGTGAAATGTTGAGAGCTGGATTGAGGTAAGTTGAGAAACACCAAATTGATGACTTGTAATTAATTTTATAATTGCCCGCTCGGAGAAAATGGAAAGAGAAAATTTCCTGTTACTCTCTTAGCCTTAAAGTCACATGAAAGAAACGTTTGCTACCGGCTTTTAGTTTTCCAACAAACCTATCACTGTATCAATTTACATCCATTTTTATCCCTCAGAAGCTTAATTTGGATAAAATCACAAAACTATACAGGCTCCTCATTGCGCACAGCCGTAATTGTGGGAAGTATCTATACAAATATTCTCTGCAAAATAAAAGACGAGTCATTCCATTGCCTGTCACCTTAAGAGAGGTCTTTAACATGACCCAAAATGACGTTTAGCGTGTCTTCAGCATTTTAAGACTAAACCGGAAAATTTGATTTTGGTACAGTAAGTATACACCTGCAAGTTGCTTTGTTTACAGGTATAAATGGCAACAAAATTGTGAACCTGTGCCTGTTTTAACTATTTTTTGTGTTCATAGTGACAAGTTGGGATGAAAATTGCCTTGCAATAGAGATCAAAGCAGTCGTAACTGTATCAATTTACACCCACCTTTATCACTCAGAAGCATAATTTGGTTAAAATTATAAAACTGTACAGCCTGCATTCATTGCATGTAACTGTCATTAGGGCTACACTAAGTTCAAGGGCATTTACAAGACTCAATAAATCCAAGCTTATTTCCTACATTTTCCAGTCAGTAAGTAAATGAAGGATTGCGGATCTGCCAGAGATAATTGTAACAGCGTTATTTTGTGTTTATGATGTTGCTCGATCAGGAATTCTAGTTAGTGTAGTCAAGATTAATGTACATTACAAAACCCTTGTTCGTTTATCATTGTTAAATATTTTTATGATCTTTTATTTATTAAAAAAATGATTTTTACATTGTTTTGGCTACAATTAAATTCTGTGTTTTTTATTCTGAGCGGAAGAATTGAGGATTTAACTTTATTTCTTACCCATAAAGTCCACAGAGCTTTGCTACCTTAAATTTCCAGGACACCTCAAGTATCAAAGTTTCAAAATAAAAAACAGATGAGCTCAGAATAACTCGGAACTTAACAAAAAGATGAACCTTGGCTGATGCTTCATTATTACTTCAACAATGTACTCCATTAAATATATCGGAGTGAAATTAGGTGTATGTCTCACTCCTGAGAAGTACAGCCAGAGAAAGAATGTGAAGTGAAATTCGCTCTGTAATAATATGCTGCACTCCATGAAAAGAGAAGATTCTGCTCTATAAAAGTGTAAGTCACTTCACGAAAAGAGTAAATTACACTCTGCATTCATGTATATCTTTCGGGTTTGTTAGCGCTACATGAACCCCAAAAGAGAAATACACCGAATTTCACTCTAGAATTTGTAACAGTACTATTGTAGCACTACAATATGAAGCCTTACATGTGTGAACAGCGGATATCAAGTTTTTAAGTTTTGAGAAAATCGCGTTTAAAATTTTCATAGCTGTGCATTTTGATATCCATGCAGCAAAAGAGGCTTAGTCAAGGGATTTATTACCGAACGCAAATCCTCCCTTAAGAAATGAGCCATAGAAATTTAAGTTTGAAGCAAATGTTACAAAAAATCATAACCAACTATAAAACAAACAGATTTAAATTCCAGGATAAAATTCTGGATTAGTTATAGAGACCACGATAATATATATCATTGCTGCTTGATTGGATCAGTCTCTTTGCTAAGGTTTTCCAAAAACAATTTTTCAAAAACAAGTTAGGCTTTTATCGAAATAACACATTCCTACTGTAACGGTAAATACTGCTAATATTCAAAGCTCCAGAGTTTTTTTTTTTTTTTTTTTTTTTTGTTTGTTTGACTGCTTTTTTAATTTGAAAAGGAAAATAACTGCAGAAACCTTTGCTGAAAATGAAACAAAATCATTGATAAGAAAATTCAACAACTGAAAACCCAGATTTGTTAGCTATTACTGCTTGTAAATAATTTACTAATTAAAGACTCCTCATAGAAATGAAGGTCTAACTCAATTTTTTTAAGCTTTTGGAGGGATGCTTTTTTGGCTAAATATCGCCGCAGCAGCTCCTAGCAAAAAAATGATCTCAAACAATACACAAGAAAACATCTGCTGCATACACCTGTCACGCGGGTCAATAAGGCATGCAGCATTTTTTATATTTTTGAGAACTCAATGTGGACAGTGAAAGTGCAGGAATGCGAATCTCACTTTACGACGTGGTGTGCTTCTTTTAATAATTTATTTTTTAAATGGAAAGGTACTCATTTTATTTCCAGAAAAAATCGTTGATCATTCTTATCTATGCAAAGAACAATCCATGAAAATGTCAAGCAATAGTGTTAGTTTGTTGTTTTTAGATAAAATACTTACCTAATATGGCGAAGCAGATTTTGAAATACCGCAGATGAAATACATATTCCCGCAGTTTCACCTTTGTAATATGGAATTCACCGATCGCATTGACACAACTAGTTTTGTTCTAAGCTAAAACCGGGTTAATTTCAGTATAAATGGCTTGAATTCACTGCACAGTATAATTGGTGCAATATGGCTTTGGAACAAGCAGACATTTGTGATGACTATGATCTGTTATATCAAACTGGAGAGGTTGGATAAAAGTAAGGATCGAGAAAAAGTTGTTTCACTTGTAAATTTAAAAAAAAAACTCTATGACAAGAATGACAAGAAATAACAAAATTTTAATGAGAGGGATGACAAGAAAGGAAGTTTAACATGCAATATAATAAAATGATAAAATAAAATACATCTTGAAGATGTTCCAAAAACTGCAACATTAAGGATAAAATATTCTATTCTTTTGCATTTATTAGGTACTAAGTGTAATAGAGATAAGAATCCTAATGATAAGAAAAATGAGCAAGAAACCAAAATCAATGGAGCAGAGCAAGTTGGTAAAATTAAAGAATAGGAAACTAAAATTTAACACCTCAATTTTAGGAGAACAAACAAATGGTTGAACAAAAGGTGGCTGATAGATATTATCAGGCCTTGTCTCCACGAGCCGTTTCACGAGATTTGTATCAGGGAAAAATCCCACTTACGAAGTTGGGAAAAATATTGAGTTAATCAATATTTTTCCCAGTACAAAGTATGGTACTTGTACCCCTAGGACCCACTGAAAGAAGAAGAAGAAGTGAAAACGAATTGTGCGATATTTTATTCATTACTACATTGTTAATGTTTGGTTAGTTAAAATAATGTGTCTAATGGTCAATTGAGTGCAATGGACCACTAGACAAGGTACGAATTTCGGCATTCTGATACATGTTTCATAACTAAAATTTCACGTAGACCACGATGTGCACAACAAAAATTACCGAAATTAACTCCTTACGAAGATATTTAATGTTTCTTGATGCGTGCATTCAAACCACCCGCTCATGAAAACTCAATGCTCTACGTGATTCACATCGCGCGCTAAACGTTATTATGACAGTCTCTGCGATACAAAAATCTGGCAACCTCAATCTTGACGCTTTGGCTCAGCTATAGCAAATTGCTAATAGTTTGAACAGCACATGGTGGGAAAGGAACATTGCTCGATTGAGAAGCTTGCTGAAACCATTGTAGTGCACGATTTGACTCACGTAGAGCTTTGAGTTTCTTGTGAGCGGGCAGTTCAAATTCCTCGTAACCAATGTGAAATAAAAACGTTAATATCTTCGTTAGGAGTTGGTTTCAGTCATTTTCGTTATGTGAATCGTGTTCTGCGTGAAATTCTGGTTAACCCTTACCTGCTCAGTGGTCAGTTATACTGACCACCTTTTTAAATAATTATTCATGGCCGTTTTGGCGCGACATACCCTTACCAACCATGTAGTTATACTTGGTATATGGTCCAGAATATGAAAAAAAATATTGCCGGGCGATGTTATGTTGGCAATATTGTTTTATCATCTATTGTTTACCTCCGATTCGTTGGAGGTTTGGTGCCGCCGGTGTTATCTCCAGTTTTGCGGTTGTCAGTTGCTTGTGCGACGCAAATGGTTCTGATTTAGTAGTAAAATATTAAGTTAGACTATAATGCTGCGAGAATGTCATTTGGCAATTGAAAAATTCAGAAGTTTTGATTATTTAATTCATGCTTGAACATGGTGGTTAGTATAACTGACCACCGTGCAGGTGGCTATAGGAGCTGGAACTGGATTCTTGTTGCTTTATTTTTTATTATTATTTTATCAGTAATTTTTATGATTATGTTCATTACTTTTAATTATTGACCAAAATTATTATTTTAAAATTGCTAGTCTTATGTGGGAAAGGACCATTATCGTTGCATTTTGAAGGAATGAATTTATTTCATTGTGACTAGTCTTTGATTGCCTCCTTACTTATTCCAGTTACGTTCATATGTTCTTCACTTCAAGCAGTTTTATATATTTCTGCTTTATTTATACTCTTTTATAATAAATTATACATTTTTCTAAGACTAGCTTCACTCAATTTCCAAAAACAGAGACTCTATCACTTACAAACATGTAAGAAAAAGTGAAAAACTTACAAAATCTACGGAGTCAACAATTATAATTCACTGGTAAAGTTAGTATGGAAGGTAAGGGGAGGTCTGCGAGGGAAGGGTTGGGGGCTTGGAGGGCAGAAATTGATTGTCTTGCGCGGATTGGTAGAGACAAGGATCATTTTTTACACAAAAATAAAAAAAAACACGAAAATTATATCCACATAGGTGAATAGGAAATTTGCGTATTCCTATCCTGTTCAGTGGTCAGTCATACTGACCACCCTTTTTTGTCAAAATTTCCGGGTAAAAAAAAGTCGAAAAATTTTTTTTTCACTAATTTTGAGTTATCTAGACCCAACAGGCCTTAGAAAACTCGAAATTTCAAAAAAACGTTCGAAACCCATAATGTGTGCAGGTAAGGGTTAAGAAACATGTATCAGATTGCTTAAATTCGTACCTTGTCCAGTGGTCCATTATTATTTTAATCCCGGTTAAATACTTGACTTTAACCAATTTATCTTCCCGCGCAAACTAGTCGCAGGACTAGTCCCCGTCCCGTGGAGACGGCAACTAGGAAAAATCCCAGAAGTTTCATTCCTGCGATTCGAACTTGGGACAAATCCCATGAAAACGTCCCGTGGAGACAAGGCCTCAGGTGAAAAAAGTAACTTTGACAATGATTGTGATTTTTCAAACAGTAAGATGAGGTTTGAATACTTAAATGGTGATGTCAAACTGATCAAATTGAAGACAAGAAGTAATGCAATTTTTGTTGGACTCCTGCATCAATTTAAAATGATTTATGACTTTAATAAGTTCAATAAATTAAACTACGAGATGTTCAATTGAATGGATGCATCTAAAATTTCATTCTCTTAGGTGTTGATGAATTGGAAGAAATAATGACCATGATATGAGGGGCCTGAAGGTAAAGGCAAATAAATGCAGTTTTTGAAAAGTTGAGAGATTCATGAACTCAACTAAAACTGGTTTGAAAGTATTTTCAGTGAAAAATTCACGACTAAAATCCAATTTTAAAGCATCAAAAAGTCAGTTTAAACTTCCTTTCTGCCATGTGGCTCCATGTAATTTTGAAACTTTAAACAAGTATTTCTTTAAATATGAAAAACTGCAATTATGCCCCTTGTCCTCCAAGCCCTTCATATGTTATGTTGAAAAAATTAAATAGATGGGAATAGACAAGAAAATAATAGAAATATTAAACTGTGAGGCACCATACAATTAGTTTTCAGTTATGGAAGGTTTGATGTGGGACTGAACGTGTTTTTATCGGGAACATCTCTGGCAAATCAGGCCCAGGTGCATCTGTGTGCAGGAAACCGTTATATAGGAAATTGTGATGAGGTTGAGCTAATTACAGAAGCCGCCGCAACAAACCTAAATGAGGGAGAAAACAATTATTTGTCACCAAAGTACAAAATATACATGGCAAATAAAAAGGATACCAACTATTAATGATTTCGTTACAGAGAGAGGAGGACATGGGATTATTTGTTTTGACGAAAATGGTTACGAACAACATAAATCCAATACTGTCAACCTTTCAAATGGGCACTTAGTTGCTGATCAATTGGACCGTGTTGATCAGAAAGGAACCAAGCCACATCAGCTATTGCCAAATTTAATTTGGCGATTTAATTTTTTACATGAAAACAGTTGTGCAGATTTGTATGCTAATTTCAGTGAATTTTCTGCTTCGTGCGAAGCAAATTCCTTAAAATTTTCAAAAAAATCTGCATGTACGTTCTCTTGTAAGAAATGAAATTGCCCAGTTAAATTTGGCAATAGCCGATATGGCTTGGTTCCTTTCTGCTTAACGCGGTCCAATTCTGAAGAATAAGTAGGTTCATATTCTTTGGAGAGTGAAGTGGTATGTAGGCAAAAGAAATGCAAAAAAAAAAGAAAAAAAAAAAATCACTCCGCATGAAAGTGTAAGATGAGAGCGAGAAGTTGGTTGCTGAGATGAAAATATAGTTGTACATGTTATAATAGCTCTTCATAGGCTGCATACTGGCAGAGACCATGTTTGCAGATGGGCAACTTTTCAGGTTTGAAATGGGGGATGACTATTTTTCTTCTTTTCTTACCATCAATTTTTAAGGCAGTCAAGCGTAAATCTACGTATGAAATTTGAAAGTCTGCTGGAAGTTTGATTTGGTTTAGGATATAAAGGATCGTCGTTGAATTTTTGACAGAAGTTAAATGAATCCTGGAGGAAACGATATTTTGATGAGATTAGGGTGCAGGGATCGGGTTGACCAGGGGGTTGAAGAAAGAAAAAAAACACAGGAGACCAAATTTAGATGGAGAAAGTTCAACGTAGAAACTTACAAGTTTCAGATAGGAAGAGATGAGTGATTTTCGTCTGTTTATTTTGAGTCTACGGTGGAGGCCTGTCCTCTATTTTGCTGTCAATCAATGAAATTCGTTCACAGAAGGATTTGTTGACTTTGTGGCTCTCACGAATACGCTTAACAAAAGAGTAGCCTTCAAGGCTTGCTTGCTTATGACTGGGACAATATTTGGATCTTTATTCTCATATTCAACATTGTTGTCTTGATCCTTAACTACAGCCTCGATATCATCATCAAGCTCAGCAGAAGTAAGATGTTGGAGGCAGTAAGCATGACCTAACCGCAATTAAACACCAATCAGCGACCAAAGTTTATTCTGCAAATTGTGCAACTTAAGACAGAGGGATGCTGCAATGTTTTATCCCCTTAGTTAAGGAAAAATATACATATTTGCTGCAAGGACGTCAAGGAGATGGTGAATTTGACTGTTACACAGCGTTTTTCATTAAACAGTGGATTGCTTAAATTTTTGCGCTGCACATAATTCAGTTGGAGATTTTACACAAAGCAAATTATTATTTTTAAGATTGATTTTCAAGATCCAATTTGATACTAGCTTATTAACTTATGAAAGGAAATTAGGTTTTTATAACATAGGTTATGAACCTCAGTTAATCAATTTCAATGATCTTCTCTAGTTGATCCAGGACAAGACTGATCTAAATCTTCACTGTTATCATATTGCACTCCACACCACACACAGTACAAATGAGCTGATCTTAAGTAAACAGTAACAAGTTTTAGCTTTTCAAGGACTGTCAACTCTTTGATATCTTCATCACTGTCGCTTTCGGAGATATCTTCTTCTCTTTCATCATCTTCTTTAGTCTCCTCTTCTCTTGGAGGCCAAAACCAAGCCTCTAAGGGTTCTGTGGTGCCCTCCTTAGAGTCAAGCTCATAACAAACTCTTTGGCTGCTTCTGAGGTCACCGTTCGCTTGTCTCTCTGCTGCTTCAGCGGCCACCCGTGCCCTGTAATTATCAACACTTATACTTTCTGTTCTCATTCTTTTGGTGCCAAGAGCTACTTTCAAAGCATTAACCTCTTTGATAGCATTCTCTCTGCCTAAACCTTTTCTATCATTTTTAATAGAAATGCCTATCGGTTCTGTGCGGCCTGTCTCATTTTTTCCGATTCCTGTGCCAGGTTTGTATCCCATTTTCTGCAACAACGCATAACCTTTGTTGGTTGAATCAATCGGTTTGTTTAAACCTTCCGCCCTTGTTTTTTGTTGAAACAATTTCTTATTCAGCAGTTTCTGTTGTTCTTGATTCTCATGGCTACGCTTCATAGCTTCATGCTCTCGTTTTTTGGCTCTTGACATAAGGAGCCCCGGTCTTACATCTTCTGCAGGGTGGTTGGCCAAAAAATCATCAGACATATAATCGGGTTCATCTGACTCCATTCTGAAAATAAAGGATAGCAAAAGAGCAAATTAACCAAAGTTGAAGAAAAGAAATGTGATTTCTTTAAGTTAATTATTCATAATTTCTTTCATTGATTTTAACACTGTATCACCTCTTAATTTTTCTAGGCTTCGGTAATTCGATGTAAACCCTGTTTGTTTCAGGACACTTCTTTGGACTGCGTTTAGCAGAAAGGAACCTTCAAACCACATTAGCCATTGCCAAATTAAAGAGGTCAAGAAGAGAGTGGGAGAGAGAAAGGAACTGATTTGGATGGTTAAGCGAAGAAGCAGTGCGGAATCTGAGATAAGACTGCCTCCTGATTTCCTTATTGACACAGCCGACTATAATCCAGTACTGAAATTGTAGCGCTGCCTTCTTTTATTAAAGGAATTATTGAAACTTCAAAGGATGGGTCGTGCAAAAACGGAGCATCGAAGAAAGTTGGCGCAATGATGACTTTTGATTAGCATTGTGATGGGAAGAAAGAACGGTGCACTGTTGGGTTTGTGTACGTTTGGAGATTGCCTTCAGAGCATTCGAGTTACATTGACTGCAGTAGCATCTGTGCTGCTTGGCCACTGATCTCGTATGCTCGACTTTCTCTCCGGAGTATAAAAGCCCATGGGTCATTCCATATAGAACCTACCAGCCATGCAACCGCCCGACTCGGATTTTGATGATAAATTTTTTTCTTGATCAGACCACCAAATAATGAACTTCTGCAAAATATTAGGTCTCAAATCGAAAAACTCACTGAGATATGAATTTTTGAAGTTTTGAGAATTTTCAAGAAAGTGACGTTTCGAACTTCCGAGAAAAAGAGGGTCATTTTCCCCAATAAAATTCACACCAGGCCCATTTTTCGTCGGATTGAAGTGAAAATTTGACACAATGTCAATGAAAGTACGTAAATTTGAGAAAAAAATGCATAAAATGTTCAACTTCACTCATTGAAGTGCTGTGGTTGATTGTTCGTTGTGATTTTGTCTGATTTTGGCGACAAAACCTTCCCCTCTTCAAATGCCCATAACTTTTGAGCTGCAAGTTATTTTTTGCTCCAATTTTTTTTAAAATGCTCCTAAGAGTATTAGGAAGACGCCTAAAGAACAATTCTGATGGCGTTCTGGGCTTTAGTATCTTTTTTTTTCACTTTTGTCCAAAAAAGGTCTAAAAAACTGAAAATAACACCAAAATTATTCCGATAGTCGACCATTACCCTGAAAAGTCAACTCAAAAATCGCTCATTTTTTGCCTGAATGGTTCTTACTGTGTGTACAATATGTTTGAAAAATAAAATCAATGGTATTTTGGGTTTAAATATCTTTTACATAGAGTTTTTGCCCAAAAAAGGCCCGCAAA